CCCCAATAAGTTCATTTCTTCATTCCATTTCCGTGTAGTACATCTTTTGAAGTAGCACACCAAGTTGCCGTCAAAGTATATTCCTCATCCGGTGTCTACCATTGTGGAACATCTGCATTTTCTGTTTCTACCGCTATTGATTCCCTTTCCCTCGCCTACTACCTCCCGCTTCCACTTCAACCGATTGTTGTGTTGTAGGCGATGGTTGGTTGGTTGTTTGTTGCATCGAAGCAAATGTGGGGAAAATAATTTGTTGTAAATATGGGTTTTGACCAAATTGATTTTGTTGAAGGTAAGGTGAGTTGGGAAATTGCAGTGGCGGTGAAGCGGGATTGAAAGCAACGCCTTGGTATGAGATTTGTGGTGAGCCTTGAGACGATAAAAGGTTGAAATAATTTTCACAACATGCGAATCCAAGAGACGAGGTTGTGTTTGGGTTTAATGTTTCAAGGAACAATGAACAAGGAACATTTTCTATGTGGGGCGTATGGATCAAAATTGATGTTTAGTTAACATGAATCAAAATTAAAAAAGTTTTTAGTTAACATGAAAATATTGATGTTTCAAGGAACAATGAACAATGAGATCAATGTGGGGCGTATGGATCAAAATTTAAAAAGCTATCAAATATTAAGTCAAAATCGTTTAATGTTTTGTTTCACAACATTTTCTATATGTTACGTATAATGTTGTTGAAAATAATAAAAGATAAATGAGTATGTAACTTTGTGATATTATTTTTTTATTATGTTTAAAACAAATTTTTGTAACGGCCTTGGTCAACGGTTCAATCAACTTTATGATAAAATCGGTTGATTCAATCTGGTTCATAAATAATAAAAAAAACACAGCTCTTAGTTGGTAATACCCGATTGATATTGGTTTTATTAATATTTTAAAATGACAATGGTTTTTGTAAAAAGATAAACAAAAATAGTTTTTGTTGGGTAAATTATCCAAAAAATAATGATTTTTCTATAAATAGATGAATATATCTACCTTCTTAATAAAAGAATCATTATTTTCTATATGTCTCTCCCACAATAATTTTCAGCTAAAAGTGGTTTTACCATTTTACCCTTAAGCCATTTAATATTTTATTTCAATTCAATCCTATATGAAACTCATTATCGGCCGCTTCATCGCTCTTTTTGTTGTTTTTCTAGGGTTTATGCATTGTTTTGCTTCTTCTTTTGAAAGAAATTTTTCCTTCCTCCCAACGTTCCATTTTTTCTCTCTTAAACTGATTCTTTAAATGTAAATTGTAAATGCAGTTCGTCCTAAACCCCAAACCAGAAGATAGCACCGATTGGAATTATGTCTGCAATGACTTCTAGCCATAAACATCACCATTCAGGCCTTTAGACGAAAACATCAACTGCAACGTAGTCCAAGCCTGACAAATCGCCGACTCCAATCCCGGAGTGATCCATGGTCGGCACCTGAACGCTCTTCTACCATGGATTCCATCACCGGACTCAACAAACTACGAATTCCCGTCTGATTTCACAATTCTCTCTCTCTCTAAGCCCTACACCCAAAAATGATCCCCGTTCCTCTAATTGCCGTCTTCTCAAAATTAGGGTATTCATTTTTTTAGTTGTCGTTAGTTTCTTCATATGAAGACACCGTTTATGTTTTATAAAATGTGTACATGTAGAATCTTTGTTAATACAAAGTTGTGATATAATCTTAATTGAGAGTCTGAATTGAAAGTAAATAGTTTTTTTTCGGTTTCTGATTGGATTAGCATGCTTGTTGATTCAATGTTCTACAATTTTTTTTTTGGCTAAAAGGTCATGATATTGGCCTATTTCAATTTGGAATCGATGAAGTCAAGGTAGTTTCTCTAATCTCTGATTAATTTTGTTTTCTCTTTTTGATGTTTTTGACAACATAAAAAATTGTTGCAAAACCAGTAAACTCTTCTTTGAACTTCATATTGCTAACTACTTTTTTGCCCCTTTTATACCTTGTGTAGTTGGTTTATGTTACTGGTTTCTTGAAAAAACATCCACATGTTTAAAGGTTTGCCCCCAACAACATTCATGTTATGAACAACATAAAAAACCACGACAAACACCAAATGGAAAAGAGTGATCTTTAAAGTCAGTGGCATCTCATTAGCTGGAAGTGGTCAAAGCATTCACCCAAAGGTTCAAATTCTTCTAATTTGTTTTTTCTTAAACACATTTCTATATACAATCTACATTATAAACTTAAATCTTTCCATTTTTACCTTGCTTTACAAATTACATAAATTTTAAATTCTTTTTTCACTTAATATATTTACAATATATGATTCTAGGTTGTTGTTATCATTGGATGGCATAACTTTTTTTGTGATGATCCTTGGGTGTCATCAACAGATTAGATAGGCAAACAGCTTATCAAATTGGGTATTTATTTATCTTTATTTAATTTCGTTGTTTTTTTTATATAAATTCCAATCTTTTGTTTCATGCTTTTTACAGTATTATGAGAACAATTATGAATTAAAATTTTCTTTAATCAACACTTGATTTTTGATAAATAATATTCTATCGATATTTCATTGATCCAAAGAAGATGCAGTATGATTATTAAGATTTAGACGTAATTGTGCTTTGTAAGATGTAACCTCCTAAAAGTATTATATAAGTCATTTGTTTTGTCTATTTAAATATCTATTGTGATTATTCAATATTTAATCTTAGTTTATATATATATATATATATATATATATATATATATATATATATATATATATATATATATATATATATATTCTTGTCTATTTTTTATATCAACTTATGTACTTCTTTCAATAGTTATTTTCATTACAGACTGTTGATTTCACTTTCATTTAATTGATGTGGCTCATGTTGGATTGCCAAAGACCCTCTTTCATAATATGTTGAATGTAATGTTGATAGTTACATTACATAAATATATTATGATGATTAATATTGTTTATCCCATCAGGTATATGATGTTTTCATACATTTAGGTTCCTGAATTCATAAATATATTATGTGAAACAGTTTTACAATTTCTTTACTCGGTTCTTTTTAAGGAATATAGTGCATATACAAATGATGCAAAATGTTTCTAAGTTTCTTGACTTTAGTACCCACCAGGTGTTTGACAAAATGTCATAAAGAAAAATACCTTTCCTTTGTTTCTTTCATTAAATAAAGTAGAGTCAACATTTTGATTTGTTTGGGGTTTGGCTGCTTTGGTTGAGATTTTAGTAATTTTTTTAAAAATATCTCACTAAATTGAAATTCTATTAGTTTCATATAAAATTAATTTTTTTCTAAGAACTCATCATGTGACACTTTTTTCATCTGTATAATTTTACAGGTTGCTCGAGATATAGATTATCATCATAATATCTTATCATCTCACCAGAAGGTTAATCTAGAAGAAGTGATTGTTGGATGTTAATTCCTCATTCAATGTTGGTTATTCTTGCTTAGTAAACTTCCAAATGTTGTCTTATTTGTTTTCATAGTTTTGTTGAATTAGCTGATTAATATGAAATGTAGAACATGTTATAACAACGCGTTTTATATAGTTGGTTAAAAGGGGTGGAGTGGTCATTCAAGATTCCTAAAATATGAGTGTGAATAATACAAGCAAGTAAGTTCTAGAAAAACATTTTATAATTCAAACAAGAGAATATTAGTAGACTCTAAATTAGTAACAACATGCTTTTGTCTTTACAAGAGGGTTTTAAGGCTATGTTTGTAGTTTTTGCATCATCTTGGCTATTAGACTCGATTTGTTAGCATTTATCGAGGTTAGAATTTTGATAAAGTTTTATTCTTTTTTGTATAATGGTTAAATACAAAAAATAACAATGTAGTTTCATTGGTTAGTATATTATAGCATTGCACTTTCATTTAATTCTATTATGACAATGTCCTTCAAAAATATATCACTTATAACAATGTTATCCAAATCATAGAGCAATTTTCTTTCATATACTTTAAATTTCATATTTTATGGTTTGATGGGAGAAAATAAAGCATTAATGGTTGAACCGCACTATTGCCAAAATATAATGTTTTTATTTTTTTATTTTTCTCTATTAATAAATGAAAGTAGGGTGCTATAACAAATGTTTAAATGTGACTGCATTGTTATTTTTTGTATTTAGCCTTTCATATTATTTAACCTGGTTCACCTATTTTTAATTAAATCTAGGTTAAGATGATACAGAGGTCTTGGGTTTTGTTGTATTCGTAACTTCAAGAGAAGAAGCTACTATATGTGCAGGTGTTTTTTTTGTCATTTCATTAAAGTGTTGTTTCTCGCTTATAAATATCAATTCAACTTATTCAAGGTCAAATCTATATTTTTTTCAATCATAATTTTAAATTAAAAGTGTTACAAATACTACATGAATATCATGCATTAGATATGTTGGAATGCTTTTAACATAGTTACAAGATTCCTTCAATTAAAAATATTGAGAATGTATATCGATCTCGGAGTTAAAATTTAGTATTTGACCTCATAAGTCAAAGATCTACTTATATTTTTCTTATGGAAGAGTAGATCTTCACTTTTTTGGTTTTGTAGCTTAAAGATCTGCTACTTATACAAAAGTTAACAATGGATTATTTATGTAATTCGTAATTTTTATGGTGGTTGTTGATTGCTATAAATTTTTTATTATGAAAGACATGAACGAGAATGGACGATTTTTCCAAAATTACTTTGTTGACAATGGCAATAGATTTTGACTACATTTGCGAAATTAGTATAACTTACGATAATTTTAGTTTTTTCAATACAATCTACAAAGTTCCTTTTTCACTATACCAAACGAATGTCAACCATATTTTGTAATATCGTGTAATTTTAGGTTTCACAAGTTCTTTTTTGAAAGTCATCATTATGAATAATGGTATTTTTTATTTAATACAAACATAAATGATGGATTTTGTTTTCCTAAAGAGTTACCCAATGAAGTTGGAGGAGCTTGAAGTGTGTCGACAACTTTGGATCCGATGGATTTCATTGTCAGGGTGAGTAAAATGTTTCCAACTATCCAAGATCTGAACATCTTCAATTTTTGCATTTTATGCCGGTGTCTAGGCCTTGTTATTGTTATTCTACTAAAAGGTGCACAAAAATTAAAGACCACATCACAACTTTGACATGTACATGAACCATTCATTAAAGTTTATAGCAATGTACTTTTAAAGTACATTGCTATTTTATGCTTAACTTAATAGCTGTAACAGAAAATAGAATATGAAAATTTGTTAAAACGTCTTAATAGTGAAATTTTCTAAAAAAGAATTAAAAAAAGTATTTTCCAGTTTTTTATATGAAACTTTTCCAAAAAAAGATTAAAACTTTATTTTATTACATTATTGTTATTTTTAATTTCTCGTATAAAAATATCATTTCCATGATTTATTGTGTTTTCTTTTTCTTCAATTTATTAAAATTTATATTGCATAATTTAATCAAATGTGTATACATACAGACCGCAAATCGAATATTTATAACAATGTATATATTAATTTTATCTTATTATTATAAACTTATAGATAAAACTTCTATCATTGTAATTTAATAATTTTTATAAATCTTCAAATTTTTATTACCATTTTAAAATATCAATAGTGGTTTTCTTTCATAACCCATGGTTTATACGGTTTTTAACCTAGTTCTTTGAGTACAAAGTGGGTTCATGGAAAGCCCTCTTTAGAACTCAAATTGGGAAACTGTTTTTTGTTTCGGGTCATTCCTACATGAATCCGATAACCCATAGAAGTCGGGTCGTAAAATTTCTTGTCTATGACAAGGTCCGACAAAATTCTTCTCTCTTTCTCTCTCATGCTCTGCAAGTCGTATAGGGGTGGACAAACACGTTTTTGATTACTGATCGCCGTACTGTTCAAAGACCAAGAACAATAACAAGTAAGGTACTTGTACTGCGATCAGTTATTAGCTTTCCTCTGATTCTCGATAACTTTTAGTTAATCTGTATTTGATCGTATCAATTTGTAGAATTTGGATTAGGGTTTTGTGTAATTGAACTGGATAGCATCCAAGAACTACGCTATAGTTAATGTCGTTTGAAGTGAATGATTTTTGTTCGTTTTAGCTTATAAAGTCGCATCCACTTCGTCATATTTTTTAGTTTGGGTTTTGGGAGCTTCAGTTTTGAAATTCCCTGTAATTGGGGATCATTATCAATGTTTGGGTGTCATGTCTTAAGTTGACTTGTTTGTTTGCGATTTTAATGGGAGTGAATCCATAGGCATTGTTGATGTGACAGGCTTTCTGCTGAAGATTTATTGAAGTTGATTGTGACAGAGTTCCATCTCTATCTTACATGCCGATAGAGATGTACATTAACTAGAGTTGACACTTGACTGTTTGGGATTCTGTTTTAGTACATTACTGCAAATCCAGCAAATCATTTAAAATTAAAACCAGTTTCTTTGACCTTATTTTTCCATTTGTTTTTTATTTCTTCCATTCAATTGCAATTATGCATACAGCTTGAGTAAACGATTAGGCATCATTAATATTATGGAACATATGATATTGATCAAAAGTATTGGATTGTGACATTATGTTATGAATTATATCATATATTGATTGAAGACAACAGCTTAAGAATGAATTTACAGACACAGATGGCTGGTCAATTCTCCGGGCAGGTGCCCAATCAACCATTGCCTGCCCTGCCACATCAGCAGAACATGATGCAAAACAGTGTAGGAGGTCAGCGTACTACACTCATTATGGAGCCTAGTTTTGTCAAGGCAAGGCGATTCATACAAGAGAAAATGTAAGTCTTCCTAAATTTGATATAAATAGCCCCTCAAGATTTACCTTTTCTCCTATTTTGACCCCTGGCAATTAAATTTGAATCTCCTTTCCCCAGCTATGCTTTTCTCATGCAACGACAACAAACACAAGAGATAGCCCAAAAGAAAGTGCTCGATATTGTTAAACGATTAGAGGAAGGCCTTTTTAAAATTGCTACCTCCAAGGTTTGTTTTATATTTGTGAACATTGTATTCATTTATATTTTCTTATAAATTGTTTTTTTATAATTATTTTCAATTTTAGGAGGAGTATATGAACTTGGAGACATTAGAAATTCGGCTACATAGTTTGATCAAACGTCTCCCATTGAATAATCAAAATCAGCAATATCAGCAGCAAGGGAATAGTAATACCTCTGTTGCAATGGGAATCATGATTCCGACTCCGGGCGTATCTCAAACCGGGAATTCAAGCGTAACTGTTCAATCATCTATGGATCACTCGTTTTCAAATGGGGGTAATACTGGAAGCTTCATACCTAATAATGGTTCCTTCAGTTCATCTGACAGTATTTGATTATTTATACCTCATAATCTGTAGCAAAATTTTGATATGAATAACATTTCACAAGGGAATCCACTTTTGAATGCAGGAGGGTTGACTAATGGATATCAACGGTCAACATCCAATTTTGCCATGGGTTCAGGTGGGAACAGCATGATTTCATCAATGAGTGCACAAAGAATGGCAACCCAAATGATACCTACTCCTGGATTTAGTAACAACAACAACAACAACAATGGCAATATTAATAAAACTGGTAAACAGTCTTACATGAATGCGGATTCATCTAATAATCTTGTTGGGATTTCGGGTGTGGATTCTACAATTGTTTCTAGGCCACTAAATCAAAAACAGCAAGTTGGTGGTCAAAATAGTCAAATCTTGCATAATGTTGGAAGCCATATGGCTGGTGGAATTAGGTCTAGTTTGCAGCAAAAAGCCTATGGGTTTCAAAATGGATCAATAAACAATGTAGGGATGATGAATAACAACAATTTACAGATGATGAATGGCTCAGGATCTCGTTCTGTAAACTCCCAAACACCGCATTTTGATACAAATCAGCAGCAAATGTCATCACATGGTGGTGGTACTGTTGATTCTTTAAATTCCGGGAACTTTTATGGCGGCACAACCTCCCGGAACATGAATCCGGTGAGCTTGCAGGCGTTACATAAAACAAGTTCCCCATTGATGAAAAATCAATCAAATTTGAAAAATACCGAGCAAAAGATGGGTTTTCAGGGTCAACAGCCTCTTCATTTACAGCAACAACAGCAACAGATGCTGCAAATTCAGCAGAATCAACGGGTGTCGTTTGGAAAGTCTCAGATGATATCTGATTCCGGTGGTCAAATAAAGTCAGAGCCTGGAATGGAATCTCAAAATGAAGGTTTGCAGGCACAAGTTAATGAACAATTCCAGTCATCCATGGCAACTAATAAGTTACCAATGGCAGAAACTTCACAGCAGATTCTACAACACCAATTTGATGTGGACTCCCCAAATGAACCAGAGGGTCAATGGGATTCAAATTCAAGATTGGGTAACATGTCTTATGATCCGAATTTTCAAGAGGAATTTCATCAAAGAATAACAGGGCAAGATGAAGCTCAAAGGAATAATCTATCTTCAGAAACATCTGGTAATAATTCCAGGGCTATGGGTGAAAACCCTAACCCTAATTCAAACCTTGAGTTACAGTATGAGAAGCAACAAAGATGGATTTTGTTCTTGCGACATGCTCGCAAATGTGTTCATCCACCTGGCAAATGCCCAGAACCCAATTGCATAACAGCTCAAAAACTATGGAATCATATGGCATCATGCAAAGATCTTGTTCGATGCCGATTCCCTCGTTGTCGTGTGACAAAACATCTACTCCATCATCACTGGAATTGTCGGGATCCAGCTTGTCCGGTTTGTGTTCCGGTTAACCGTTACGTGCAACTAAAAACCAGCATTCGTACTGATTCCGATTCCAATTCCAATTCCATTTCCAATTCCGGTCTTCCACCTGATCACCATAGTGATCATGCTGGCATACATGCTATGAAAACGAGTCCATCTGTGGTTGAAACTTCAGAAGCTTTACACCCGCCCATGAAACGCATAAAGATCGAACCACCGTCAGAATCACTACCTACCGGAATTGATAATTCCAACGTACCAATTCCCATCTCTAATACCCTAGAAGCTCTTAAAGATGCACCGGTTGAAGAAGATCTAGCTGTTATTCCTATAAAGTCTGAAGTCAAAACAGATCTCCCTGCAACATCTGTACAGAAGTCTGAAAGTACACAAAGTGTGGAGTTTGTTAAGACTGAAAAAGAGGTGGAATCGGAAACTTGTGGTGTAACAAAGTCCGGAAAGCCGAAAATAAAGGGAGTATCAATGATGGAATTGTTTACTCCGGAGCAGATTCGGGAACATATTGCAGGTCTCAGACAGTGGGTGGGCCAGGTTAGATATCCAGAATTCCAGACACTCATGTTTCTTACTTATTCTTATGTTATCCTAAAATTTAATTTCTTTTTGTAATTTATATTGTTACTTTAGAGTAAAGCAAAGGTGGAAAAGAATCAAGCTATGGAGAGTTTAGTGAACGAGAATGCTTGTCAGTTATGTGCAGTTGAAAAGCTTAGTTTTGAACCACCACCTATATACTGCACACCTTGTGGTGCTCGTATCAAAAGAAATGCAATGTTTTACACCATTGGAATCAGTGACACCCGCCATTATTTTTGTATTCCCTGCTATAACGAGACACATGGAGAGACCATAAATGTTGATGGAACTAATATTCTAAAGTCAAGAATGGAGAAAAAGAAAAACGACGAAGAGACTGAAGAATGGGTATGTTTAATACATATATCTATATCATTGTTTTATTATAATAAGTTTTTAATGAATCTTTTTTTTACAACAGTGGGTTCAATGCGACAAATGTGAAGCTTGGCAACATCAAATATGCGCATTATTTAATGGTAAAAGAAACGATGGAGGAGAAGCCGAATACACTTGTCCAAATTGTTACACAGAAGAAGTGGAAAAAGGAGAAAGGATTCCCCTACCTCAAAGTTCGGTTCTTGGTGCAAAAGATTTGCCTCGAACAATTCTCAGTGATCATATAGAGAATCGGCTGTTTAAGAGATTGAAACAGGAACGAATGGAAAGAGCAAGGTTCCATGGGAGAACTTATGATGAGGTAGGTAGCTCATCCTCATCCTCATCTTCATCTTCATCTTATAAATTATAATCTCAGTGATATCATGTATGTATGTTTTTTTTTTTTTTTTAATCAGGTTCCTGGAGCTGAATCGCTTGTTGTCAGAGTTGTCTCGTCCGTTGACAAGACATTGGAAGTGAAACAAAGATTTGTTGAAATGTTTGAAGATGAAAATTATCCCAAGGAGTTTGGGTATAAATCAAAGGTAGTTTTGTTGTTCCAGAAGATTGAAGGAGTAGAAGTATGTCTTTTTGGGATGTATGTCCAAGAATTTGGGACAGAATCTCAGAACCCAAATCATCGCCGTGTTTATCTTTCTTATTTGGATTCTGTTAAGTACTTCAGACCAGATATTAAAACCGTAACAGGAGAGGCACTTCGCACCTTTGTATATCATGAAATTCTGGCAAGTACTGTATTTATTTTTACCTTTTTGCTCCTTACATTTTTTCTTCAAAGTCAATATTTTCACCATTTTTTTCTTGTTTCAGATTGGTTATCTAGAATACTGTAAATTACGTGGCTTCACAAGTTGCTATATATGGGCTTGCCCTCCATTAAAGGGCGAAGACTATATTTTATATTGCCATCCTGAAATCCAGAAGACACCGAAGTCTGATAAACTAAGGGAATGGTGAGTATTAAGATTTAAGATAGATATCCATTTTATTCCATTATTGAAATTTTAAATAATGTTGTTGTTATGTTTTGTTTGTATCAGGTATTTGGCTATGTTAAAGAAGGCTATGAAGGAAAATGTTGTGGCTGAGCTTACTAATTTATATGACCACTTCTTTATATCATCTGGTGAGTGTAAAGCTAAAGTAACTGCAACCAGATTGCCATATTTTGATGGTGATTATTGGCCTGGTGCTGCTGAAGACATAATCTATCAACTTGGTCAAGAAGAAGATGGAAGAAAGTTAAACAAAAAAGGGCCGATTAAAGTTAAAAAACTCATAACAAAACGAGGCCTAAAAGCCTCGGGTCAAACCGATATTTCCAAAGATCTTCTACTCATGCATAGGGTAAGTAAGGGTAATTAATGATATTCATATTTATCTTGCCTTGAGGTTCTTTTTATTTTTATTTTTACTTATTCATGCGTAATTGGAAACCACGTTTTTTACAGCTTGGTGAATTGATTTCCCCAATGAAGGAGGATTTCATCATGGTTCACTTGCAACCTGCGTGCACTCATTGTTGTGTTCTAATGGTGTCTGGAAAGCGATGGGTTTGTCACCAATGCAAGAATTTTCGTCTATGTGATAGGTAACCATAATATTTCTTTGACTAAATTACATTTTTGGTCCCTCGGTGTAGCTGATTTTTGCCATTTTCGTCCAAAAAATATACTCATTTTACTTGGAACAACAACCAAAAACCTCAAATAAGACCAAAATTGCAAGAGAAAACTCATTGGGACCAAAATTGAAAAAATGAACTATACTTAGGGACCAAAAATATATTTTAATCTATTTCTTGTTACATTGTGCTTGGCAGACTAGCTGGTAAAGTAATAGTGTTTGGTAAAAACTAAAAAGTAGCTGATAAGCTAGATGACAATTGTAAAATAAGATAAAAGGACATTTAGATATATAATTAAAATTGGGTAACATCAAATTTGGCAAACGAACTATTTCAGATGTCTATAATTTATCAATCTACATACTTTATTACATTAAAAGGCAACTACCATCAACATTGTCTCAGATTGATCGCTTTTTTTTACAACTTCTACAACTTTTTTTACAATTTTTTGTATAAGGTTTTTCTACAACTTATTTTTTTTCTTTTTTTAATTATTTTTATAACAAATTTGTAAAACCGAATATGTAAAAAATGAGTTTTTTGCATGAAAACAGATATGTAAAAAACAAAAAAAAAAAAGATGTAAAAGAAGTAGAAAATTGTAAAAAAAGTTATAACAAATGTTGAAAAAAATTGTAACAAACTAAGTTTTATAAAACATTTAAAAACAAAATTGTAAAAAAAGTTTTAGCATATTAAGTGTGTATCTGGAGAACTAGCTTATTAGCTACTTTAGTCATCTCAACAAACACTACATTATAATAAGTTATAAGAAATGCTGGTTTCCTTATATTTACTAAAACTATAATCCCAATGATTGTGAATGAGCTTGCAGGTGTTACGAAATCGAACAAAAGCTTGATGAGAGAGAAAAACATCCTATTAACCACAGGGAGAAGCATGCACTATATCCCGTTAGTTACTTTCACTGTTGCATTTCCATATAAAATAAATATTTTTGAATCAGGTTAAAAATTGTAAATAAATAAACTTGCAGATCGAAATCAACGGTGTGCCAACAGACACAAAAGACAAAGACGAGATTCTGGAGAGTGAATTTTTTGATACGCGACAGGCTTTTTTGAGTCTTTGCCAAGGAAACCACTACCAATACGACACTCTTCGGCGTGCAAAACATTCCTCAATGATGGTTTTGTATCACCTTCACAATCCAACCGCCCCGGCATTTGTTACATCATGTAACAAATGCCACCTGGACATCGAAACGGGACAAGGCTGGCGGTGCGAGCTTTGTCCCGATTTCGATGTCTGCAATGCATGTTATGTAGGAATCGATCATCCTCATAACTTGACAAATCATCCCTCCACTGCTGAACGCGATGGACAAAATAAAGAAGCCCGACAACAACGAGTTTTACAGGTATGTTATATTTTCATTTTTTACCCTGGAGATTTTGTTTCTTACGATTTTGATAACCGAGTTTATAAATTTGAAAATTGCAGCTTAGGAAAATGCTTGATCTTTTGGTGCATGCGGCTCAATGTCGATCGGCACTTTGCCAGTATCCGAATTGTCGCAGAGTGAAAGGGCTTTTTAGACACGGGATTAATTGTAAGACACGCGCTTCCGGTGGTTGTCTTCTTTGTCACAAAATGTGGCATTTACTCCGACTTCATGCTCGCGCTTGTAAAGAATCTCAATGTCATGTCCCACGTTGCAGGTATTTTAAGAAAGTATGTTTTTACTTGTTTTTGTATTGTGTTTTATGTATTTATTTTGGATGCAGAGATTTAAATGAACATTTGAGAAGGCTGCAACAACAGTCGGATAGCCGGCGGAGGGTGGCGGTTATGGAGATGATGAGGCAGCGTGCTGCTGAGGCTGCTAGCAGCACTTGATCAGGGGCAAACTTGTAAATATTCTTGATATACACAGGCAGATGAAGTGGGCATTTTGGTCAAAGTTTTAACTGCATTGACGACGAAAAGGAAGGGACAATTGTTTTTAAAGAGCGATTTGAGTGTAGTGTATTATAGTTATCTTTCTCTTTTTGTTTCATTTTTTTTCTTGGATATGAGTAACGTTTTTGGTGTCTTTTGTTTTTATGGAAACGTGGAACAATTCTTTGTTAGAGAGGGAAGGGAATAAACAGAAATTACAGTTGTGGACATTTATGGTTATCTTTTTGTTGGTGTTTTATTTATTTATTTATTTATTTATGTGTTCGAGTATTAGTAACATAATGAAATAAGTCGTTATATGTTTGGTTATCTCAAATAAACAAAATTCAAACATTTTTGTTATGCATAAGTCGGAATATAAATGAAACTAATCCAGTTATGATGCATATATATTATCTTAGGTTCATTTCATTTGGGGTCTGTATATAAAGTAGAAACCTAGCAAATTAAATTATACACCATCTTAGATTCCGGAGCGTTGAAATATGATCTCTAGAATGCAGTGTACACTTTATTATGCACATAGTACAACCTGTAAAGCATGCTCATGTTTATTGGCTTTTTCTCTAGTCGTTTCTACTTTCTAATCCAGGAGAACGAACACTCCACACTCCTCATGGCTTTTCACATTGTAAAATCGTGTGTGAAAGTATGGCCAAAAACGACGGCGCTGTCGCCGGCAGCTCCGGTACCACTCCGACGTTTTCAAATCCGCTTCGGTATCATCATCAAGGGTAACGATACCACATCGATTGCACCAAATCGGACTTCGTTGTTCCATTACACCACCAGCGTCGATAAGATTCCTCCGATTTCGAGTTCAAATACTGATGGAGGCAGGGAATTGTTGGCGATGTCCGACGAGAAATTGATGAGTCAGTGTGAGATGGATACCTATAAATCGTCCGGTCCCGGTGGTCAGCACCGTAACAAGCGTGAGACTGCTGTTCGTCTCAAGCATATCCCAACCGGTATTATTGCGCAGGTTAATAATAATAATTAATTTTCGGTTTTCTGAATTTCTTTTTCGTTGTTGTTGTAAATTCATTAGCAGAATTCGGTTCCAATTTGACATTGGTTTCAAACATTTCCTTGTAATCATCACTTTAATGCATACTATCTGCATCCTCCTAAAGAACAAGGCACCAATTTCTATTTTAGAATTTGGAAGCTATTATTTTTCAAATTTAAAATTGACATAATGTAGAGTGTTTATGATCAGATTTTAGGGTTGAAATAATCATTTTGGAGATAATACATACACAAGTTATACTAAGAAAATTGAGTATCTGACTAAAGTTTGTTTTAGGATGGAGGAGGTGATTGTAAGTTGTAACAAAGTAAAGTATAAGTAAAATTTACAGAATGCACATCCGAAGTTTGTTCATTAGCCTAGAGAGTCACATGTGACTTCTTTTTGTGAAGGGATGCATATCACTTTTGTTCTCAGAGTAATTAATTGATTATTTCATTTTGTGCATGTTGGTTTTGTTTCTCATGAAGTTTAGTTTTATTGTGGTGTTTATAATTTATAGGCATCTGAAGATAGATCACAACACAAAAATCGGGCATCTGCCCTAGCTCGATTACGTAGTCTGCTAGCTCTTAAAGGTACATGTTATCTTTATTGCCTCACCATGTAGCCTTCAAACTTTTAAATGTTCCTTTCATGTATTATACTGAATAAATAACACCAAATTTCCCTAATAAACTTGTAAATGTAACAAAAGCAGCTTAATGTTACATATTTTACTTACTTATTAATTGATGTATATTTCATTATTTCCTTTGTTGGTTTGGACTAGTCAGGAACAGTATAGATCTTGAAACATACACACCTCCTCCTGAGCTTCTTCAAGTTCTTCCACCAAAGTCAACTATAAGAGGATCGGATTGTGGGCCTCAAATTGGGCATAATAACCCAAAGTTCGTTTTGGTATATACATCTACTTTCTCATGAGTTTTTAGTTTTTACTATGAAAGCATGGAGAAGTTTGTGACTTATTTAAACACATTTTGTTGTATTCTTCCCAGGGAATGCAAGCTTTATTAGATCTTATTTTTGCAGTTGATGGTTCTGTGGCTGATGCTGCAAAGAAATTGGGGTATGTCCTATTTTTTTTAGGATATTGCAACATTCTTATGGATATATGCTTCTTTTTTTTGACTTAATAGGGAGATGACTTAATCTGTTAATTTATGTATGGGTAAAGGGTGTTTGACTTAATACAAAAAGTCAGGAAAAAGAGACCTTGTTTTTTTACAAATTTACCCTCATTTTGGTCTAACGGTATGTGATGGTGTTTGGCAGCTTAAGCACCGGAGCTCTTTCACGTCTGATTTTGTCTGATGATTCTCTTAGACAAGCGGTTAATGAGTTCCGGGTGTCTAAGGTATAATCAAAATCCACCATATTATCATGTCATATCATAATAATTAATAAATGAGAAATTAAATATCCCCCTACATTTTCTCTCTACTTGTCTTCCTACCCATGTGAAATGGTGACAAGTGTCACATTTTGATAAAATTAATAATACTTTAAGACACTTCACATGGTTAGGAAGAAATGTATGAGTATATTTAATATAATATTCTCACATTTTATTTAAGCCTAAGTGTTTGATATAAAATAAATATGCAGGGTATGAAGCCTCTGAAATAGGAATCAGATTGTAACTTGTATACGGCAATCATGGGAATAGTTGGTTGTTAGGTACTTGACTCGTTAGGCATCCTATGGGTTTCTTTGACAAAACATATTTTAATGTAAATTTTCAACATGAAAGCACGTCTTTAGTTTTGCTTACCTAAATATTTATTATACTCCATTACCACAAATTCTAGTATTTACCTATACTTAATATATCATACGAATTTAATCATGTAATGATTATAAAAAAAACCATGTGTATTTGCATGCATAGATATATATTTCGGCACACTCATATATATATATATATATATATATATATATATATATATATATATATATATATATATATATATATATATATATATATATATATATATATATATATATTATTAGATTAGATATATAATGATTTTCAAATTACATATGGAATATTATTATACAGAAGTTGGTTATTGGTAACCCATCTATTTTATTATGGCAAACGAAACGTGTTCATACAAAACTCATTTCCAAAGGCTTAGATAATAGAGTAAATTACAGTTTTGGTCTTTATGGTTTGGTCAGATTTGCATTTTTAGTCCAATCTTTGAAAATTTGACAAGATTTGCATTTTTAGTCCATTTAAAAAAATTATATTACCCTTATTTTTATATTTTTGTTTTTATTATATATATATATATATATATATATATATATATATATATATATATTATTGTTTAAATTTTTTTTTTTGCTTACATTTTATTTTTCTATTTATATTTTTCATTATTTAGATTTTATTTGACATTTTTTTCGAATAAATTATTTAATGTTTTTTTTTTTTTACATTTTGTTCATTTATATTTTTTTGAATAATTTTTTCTAGTTTTTTGACGTGTTATTTGAATCTATTTTATTTTTTTAACGTTTTGTTTGTTTACGTTTTCTAGAATATTTTTTTGTAAAAAATGTAAAAAATTTCATTAAATGTGAATATTATTAACATAGATTAGGTTTAAAATTACTTTTTAATAGGTTTAGTAGATAGGCTAATCGAAATTTGAAAGCTAGTTTCAAGTTATATAATGGTTAATTGAAAATTATATAACTCGAAAACGAATAAAATTTATAAAAATATAAAAATAAATTCGAAATTGACACATGTGTTTGATTTATAAGAATTCTGATTACCATTAGCCATTTGGAACAAAATGTAAAAAAAAAAAATTAAGACTAAAAAAATTGAACTCAAAGCCATTGACACTCATTTCGAGTTCTGGTTAGTCTATACAATAACCATATTTAAATAAATAATTTAATACCTAATATGTGTTAATCATATTCGCATTTAACAAAATGTTTTTACATTTTTTATACAAAAAGTATTTATAAAAAGCTTTACAAATATATAAAAAAACAAAAGATCAAAAAAACATTAAAAAGAATATATTCGAACAAAACATAAAAAAAAAAGAAAGAAAATTTATTAAAAAAACGTTAAAAAATATAAACGAATAAAATATTAAAAAAGTTAAAAATATATATATATATATATATATATATATATATATATATATATATATATATATATATTCGAATAAAATTTCCAAAATATATCAATCATAACAAATATAAATAAATTAAATAAAATGTAAGTGGCAAAATATAAAAAAATTACATATATATATATATATATATATATATATATATATATATATATATATATATATATATATATATATATATATATATATATATATGAAAGAAAACAAAAATATAAAAATAAGGGTAAAATAGTCTTTTTCAAATGGATTGAGGGTGTGCAGTAATTTTTTTAAACCATAGGGAGATAATTTGTCAAATTTTCAAATGTTAGACTAAATATACGAATCTAAGCAAACCATAGGGGCCAAAACTGTACTTTACTCTGGATAATATATAGTTATTCTTTCACGGTTGACAAGTTGACATCATCTTAAAATAATTTTTGTAACAACTAAGCGCTGGATTTTATTAAAGAAAGAATAGTCCACAAGAAACTAATTATTTCAATCAATCGACCCAAGAAACGATGAACTTTATTTGAAATCCAAGATAAAGAGGTAGGTGGTGTTTGGGATTGTCTTTTAAGTCTAAAACTTTTTTTATAGAAGTTTTTTTTTTATAAAAGTTCTTTTAAGGAAACTAAAAGTGAGTTTCAAAAAGTGTCTGGGTAGTATTTGTCTAAAAGTTATAAAAATATTTCAAATATTAATTAGAGTTATCTAAATGTTAAATAAGGTATCTTTTTAGCCAACTCCTATAAAAAAATCACATTTTTTTGATTTTTAAAAACCCATTATTTTCTTCTTTATAAAAAATTATTTTGAAAAAAACTTTTACATCTTCCACACATTTTTAAATTTTTTTAGAAAAATTAAAAAACAAAAGTCATTTAAAAAGTATTTCCAAACATCCTCATAAAACAACCAATTCAAAAATTGAATTCTTTTTTTCATTAGTATGTCCTTAAAAACAATCTTAAAATAAATGAATATCAGTATTATATATTTATAAGAATTCTTTTGATATCTGAATGAAAAAATACTTTTAACAACCAATTCAAAAATTGAATTCTTTTTTTCATTAGTATGTCCTTAAAAACAATCTTAAAATAAATGAATGTCAGTATTATATATTTATAAGAATTCTTTTGATATCTGAATGAAAAAATACTTTTAAGTATGAAAAAATAGTTAAAATCCTTAAAACTGAAACCTCCAAAATGCTACTTGAATTACAAAATGCTATTTGAATTAATTTTTGGATTTGAAATTTTTTGTTTAAAATAAAAGTAAAAGCCTTTTTTGCAAAACAATTTTTTTTAAAGAGTTTTTATTATTAGAAACCAAATGCTTTCTCAAAAGATTCGTGACAAAGATGCCCTTATATTTTCTTCAAAATTGAATTATTTTGTTAATATTTATAAAATGATTTTTTTTGCTCAGTTTGATGAATCCATTTTAGAATAAAAGTACATTGTGACAACATAATCAAACAAAAAAATAATTTACTATGAGACCAAATTGCAAGTTTCTATGTAGTGTAGGGGCCTGTTTATGTACTCCACTAAAAGTGAAACAGAAAAAGAAAAATGAAAACAATTCTGCAAGAGTTTTGAGCGATTCCCGTTGGTGCCAATCATCACAATCTTTGCTTCCCACCTAGAAATACTCCCCTCGCTTGTCAAAATTTCTTCAATTTCTCAACGCAATCCCTTTTTTCTGCCACAATTCCCGGATTTCATGTATGCAACAGACGCATATAATCCTAATTTGGATAGATTTATGGATCAGATACATGATTCTCAAGGTATATAGCACTTGGGTGTACTACTATACAAAGATCCCAATTGTTGAAACCGTTTCTTGATTCATTCTCTCATTCGTCGCATCTCAATTGCATGCCGTTGAAGAAATTCGTGAAAAAAGACTAAATTTGGAGTATGATGTCTGGGTTATGGAGATGGAGGAAGTTTCAAAATGTTGTAGTTACGACAACCGCAGCAGCGAGAGTTTCTTCATTGCACACATCGAAACGTGGCTTTGTGAACATAAAAGCCGGAGTCGATTGTCCGCACATTCGTCGGAGGTCGTTAATTGGTGCGCAAGCTCGTTACAAATGGGAGCACGGTGGTGGTGATGATAATAACAGTAGAACGTCGACGATGATACGGAAGATTAAGGCAGAAGCTAACTGCCCACGTTGTTGTAAACAGATGGATCTCGTTTTCTCCGATAACCGTCACCTCATTCCACCACCTTCCACCAGTGTCGCTCCTGGAGATGAATGGGGTGACCCGCCGGAACCCAGTTCCGTTCCGGATGAGAAAGGGGGTCATCAAGCGGTGAGTTTGTGCCCCAACTGTAAATCTACTTACCAGTTCCAGCCGTATCAAATGTCTCCTCTTCAGGGTAGGTTTGTTGAAATCGGTAGATTTAGAAATGGTAATGGGAAGGATAAGAAACACATTAATGGTGAAGAGGATTATGGAAACAAGCTTAGGGCTTCGTTTTGGGATACACTGCGGTCTTACGGTGGTGACTCACCGGAGAATTGGACAAATCTTCCTCATCCTCCTCCCCCATCTAGCACCGGACTTGCAGTGCATACTCCCCCAGGCCTTCCTTTTGCACCAAGCATCAATGTGACTCGCGCAGGGGGTCCTGGTGGTGGTGAAAACGGTAAACGTGGTGGTGGAGAGAAGAGTAGCGGGTGGGGTGGGTCGAATTTGGGGAAGAATCTGCCTACGCCTAAGGAGATTTTCCATGGGCTTGATAAGTTTGTCATCGGTCAACATCGTGCCAAAAAGGTTGCAACTTTAACCCTTTTTTTCATCTTTCTAATACGTCATTCTTGCAAGACATTATATTGCTTGATGTTTTTGTTGTTTTGAACTGGTTTTTCATTATATATTTCAGGTGCTGTCTGTGGCTGTATATAACCATTACAAAAGAATATATCATGCGTCCTTGAAGAAAGGGTTGGTGATTTGAAGTATAAAACTTTTCATTTCTTGAAGTAGATATGCTGAATGGAAATTATCAAATTATGTGTTGAATTCTAGGTCAGGAGTAGAAAAAGGAAGAGGCAGGATGGAAGATGATGATGATAATGTAGATTTAGAGAAAAGCAATGTACTTTTAATGGGCCCCACTGGCTCGGGTATGGCTACAAGGCTGTCTCTCTTGTTTTTTTGTTTCCATTGGTTTCTTTTTAGTTGTTGCAGATGGCTGATGATATAAATTTTGTCTTCTTTAAAACAGGGAAAACTCTACTTGCAAAGACCCTTGCTCGGTTTGTTAATGTTCCTTTTGTAATTGCAGATGCAACAACGTTAACACAGGTAAATCAGATTAATATCTTGTGTTTTTATGGAGATGAGTTGAAAATGGATATGCATTGCTTTGTTTTGAATTCTAAAAGTAGAATGCTGTAATAGGAAGAAATAAGAGTAGGATGCCTTATTAAACAAATCAATGAAAGCGTGTTTCTATTTCTGGCATTTATTTAACCCTATTTGTTATGTTGTGCAGGCTGGTTATGTTGGTGAAGATGTTGAATCTATATTACATAAGCTACTTACGGTATAACTTTTATTTATGTTTACTATTGCATATCCTTCCATTATGAATTTTCAGCTAAAAGTACTGTTTTTTTTAGCTTGGGTTTATATTTTAATGTGGTTGTGAAATGCAATGCTTTCAACTAGTTTGACAAGTTAAAGTGAGAATAGTAATTATATTTCTTTCTTTAAGTTGTGACATATATGGTATACTGTGGTTGAATGATTGGTGCTAAAAATTGAATTTACTTACTTGACATAACTAGGGAAAAAGACCTAATTGCCCCTAATAAACCCTTTTATTACAAAGATACACAAAACAGGTAGTCTACTCTTTAAAGCCTCAAAGTCAACTGGTAACCTTATGGAGAACTGAAGTATTACAAATTGGGTAGGCTTTTCAAATTAAATGCTGTAATGAGAAAAAAACAGAAAGTAGGATGCTATAATAAAAAAATTGATGAAAGTACAATGCATTTGCCCCTATATATAGTTTCTGTTTTTTAAGTTGTTACCTGTTCCTGAATTTATGTTTTCAGCCATTTGAGTGGTTATCATGTTTATTTATTCATAATAGTTTGAAATTTGATTTGGTATGAAGGCTGCTGAGTTTAATGTTCAAGCAGCACAACAAGGGATGGTTTACATCGATGAAGTGGATAAGATAACCAAAAAGGTCATTATTTAAAAAAAGAAAAAAGAAAATCTTGAATTAGTTTTCCATGTTGGATGGTTTAAATTGTGACAAATTTTGATTGTAATGATTTTACAGGCAGAGAGCTTGAACGTTAGCAGAGATGTTTCTGGGGAGGGTGTTCAGCAAGCTCTACTCAAGATGTTGGAAGGAACAGTAAGTCATTGTATTTGTAATGTACCCATAAATTCTCATAATTCTTCTTATCTAAGTTTCCTTTATCACTATCTATCACTAACACCAAGTATTACTATTATTTATATTCTCTCTCTGCACAGATAGTCAATGTACCCGAGAAAGGGGCCAGAAAGCATCCACGGGGTGAAAATATTCAGGTATTTTTTTTTTCTTTCTAAATTAGGGTAAATTTCTAAAATAAGCCTCCTTTCTGTGACTTGTAAAAAAGAAACACATACAGTATAATATAGTAGATTAAGTCTTGTCTCCATTGCATTGCAGATAGATACAAAAGACATCCTTTTCATTTGCGGGGGAGCGTTTATCGATTTGGAAAAAACAATATCCGAGAGGTGATTACTATTTACTTTCTTTTTGTTTCATAAAATCAACTTTTTTTTTTTTTTTTTTTTTTTTTCTTCTTCTATGAATTACTGGTTGTGCCCTGTGGGGAGTTGAATCTGAAAGTGATGCATGTTTATACAGACGACAGGATTCTTCAATTGGTTTTGGAGCACCTGTTCGTGCTAATATGAGAAATGCTAAACTCACCAACGCTTCAGTCACATCATCTTTACTGGAATCTGTAATAAGCTTTCAGCCTATCACTATCATTTTTCTTTTGGATTTCTATGCATATTGCATATTTCATTCTCTAACTCTTTTCTTTTCTCAGGTTGAAAGTAGTGATCTTATAGCTTATGGACTGATTCCGGAGTTTATAGGACGTTTTCCCATTTTACTTAGTTTATCAGCTCTAACCGAGGACCAACTTGTTCAGGTTAATATCACATCACCTAACCTATTCTATTCTATCAAACACAAAATTGCATACAGACTTTACTCTTTTTGCTAATATTTTGTTTTTTCTCCATCCCCATAATACCAATGTACTTATGTTTCTCTACCAATAACAGCAACATGTAATGTAACCCATGATAGGAACACACTTAACTTACATATAAAGTGGACCTAAAAAATGTAAGCAAGCATGTTGTTGATGTTGGTGCTATCTAATATCTATGGTTAAATAATATAAGTATGTTCTTTTTGGTTGCTATTATGAGTAAAAAGTCACATATCAGTTAGATTGGTATTATGTACAATTTTCCCCTCAATGAAGGAGTTATATATATATGAATATGATCTACTTGTATGTTAGGTGCTGATGGAACCAAAGAATGCTCTTGGGAAGCAATACAAGAAGTTATTTCAAATGAACAATGTAAGCATTTGTTTGATCCTTTCTTTCTAAAGTCTAAATGAATTGGTTTATCATGGAAATGTTTTCTCAAGTGCAGGTGAAACTACATTTCTCAGAGAAGGCAGTGAGATTGATTGCTGAAAAAGCTATGATTAAGAACACGGGTGCCAGAGGCTTAAGAGCCATACTCGAAACCCTTCTAACCGATTCTATGTACGAGGTATAGCTAACTTCACTATTCCTTTCATCTCTTGCTTCAAATTTAGGAATTTTTTTTTTGGGGTTCAAATTACTTATTTGCCCTTTTCTGTTGGTTTAGATTCCGGATGTGGGAACGGGAAATGATCGAATAGAAGCGGTGGTGATTGACGAGGAGTCGGTTGGGTCGGTGGATAAACCGGGGTGTGGTGGAAAAATACTTCGCCGTGAAGGTGCATTAGATAAGTATCTTGCAAAAATCAACTCCAAACAACAAGTGGTATCCCCTTATTTTCTTTCTTCATCATAAATCCACTTTTTTTGACTTTAAAGGTTGAACATAAACATACTCAAGTGTGTACTAGGTTTGACGCTTGTTACTTCCTTGAAAATTAACTTTTAATGTTTCTTCATATTTGCAGGAAGGGGAAGGGGTTTACGAAGGTGTGTCATCAAAAGCCATGACCATGAGCATGTAAGATTGATTGTTAATTTAGTGTAGAATGTCTTGTTGTAAAAAAACGTTCACAAGACAACAACAAAACAGACTGTAAATTATGTTTCACCTGTAGTCTCTAGTCTGTAGAAGACCACAAAGATAACACCCCACCCTATACTATTTGGGTTTAAATTCATACACACAAAAAAAGAAAAGAGAAAAAGAGAAATGTAACATCAGCACACGCCAATATTCCCAAATCAATAAATGAAAAAGAGCCAATTCATTCGTTGCAGCGCATATATTTGTCCATTTCATCTATGAGTAGTTATTAGTGTCTTAAAATATGATTATAAGTATTTTTTTTTTTTTTTGAGTAAAACAATCTTGGAAGCTGTATGCATTGAAATACACATTGAGTTGTTTCGATCCATTCATCGTGTTTCATTGTTTTTTTTGGTCGTTTCTAGCTGTGTTTATTTTCTTATTTTTGTCCATTTGATCCGTTAAAAGATCAAATATAATCCAAATTGATTATTTGTAATAAATATGTCAGATTTTTCCCTTACATCCAAACATAAATTTAAGGTCAATCAATATCTGTATGATTATATGAAAATGGTTTACATTTTCAAAGGTAACATATGATTTTAACTTTTGGACCATATTTTAGAAGTTGAACCAAGTTTGAATCTCACAAACTTTAACCTTGATCCCGTGTATGTTTAACTTAAATTGTTGAACATTTTTGAAGTACTACTTCTAAAAAATAATAAAAATATGGGATCATTTTAGTAATAAAATTTTGGAACATACCCTAATTTATTAATTAGTTTGTGCAATAATTAAAGATGGTCCATTGTGAATTATTGGTTAGAAAGTCTTTAAGTGGCGTACTGCTTTTTGTATAAGTTTTAGATAGGGAATTTCTATTGTTTGGTTTGGTCGAAACTGATCAAATTGACACTTCAACCATCAAAGCAATTTGATTAGGCTGGATCTCTTTTTTCTTGGTGAGTTTGATAAATGGTCAAATTACATGACTTGGACTGGTTTAAGGATGTAAGATAGATGTTTTTCAGCTAGGCTTTATGAGTTTGGCCAATATATGTAAACTATGACGGAAAACTGAAAAGTAATAGCACATACATAAAAAAAAAATCTGAACAAGATATGTGGATTACTCGGTATAGAATAAGCTATATTTACGGCTCACTAGTGAGTTGATCTTATTAATTTCGCAACAACAATTTATAATTACTCAAAGGAATATATATTTATATTTAAAGAGCTTGCAGAAATTTCGTTTTGAACACAAGTGATAATGACGCCCCACAATTCAACAATTTGAATGATGCACGTCCCTAGCTATGTTTAGTTAGGTATATCTTGTTTTTATTGTTACACGTACATTCAAGAGTTGGACCAAAACTCTAAGCATTAAAATCTCTCTCTCTCTCTCTCTCTCTCTATATATATATATATATATATATATATATATATATATATATATATATATATATATATATATATATATATAGAGAGAGAGAGAGAGAGAGAGAGAGAGAGAGAGATGAAAGATCATTTGAGAAATCATAATTTCATGAGAATTCCAAAACTAAAAGTGGAGTGTTGGATTCAATTATTGAGTGACTTAGATTGATCATGACATTATTGTATATATGAGTGAAGTTAATGACATTTTAGGTTTTTATCCATGGACCATAAAGGTAGATATGGTATAAAAAATATTGCAAAAATTAAATTACCACTTATTAAAAAATCCTCAAATTGGTGTACGTTCTCTCATCTCTCATCTCTCATCTCATATCTCTCTCTCTCTCTCTCTCTCATATTCTTCATTGACGCTCCCCCATCGCCCGCCTCCTTCTTCCCTCCAATAACCGGCCCTCCCTCCAATTGAATCGACCTCCACGTGGTTGCATTTGGAGTTGGTTTGGTGGTGGACAAGTTTTCTTTTGGTTCCCCCTAAAAATAAAGAGGAACTTTCTAAGTCTTTGGTTGGTTTGGATGTTGGAAAGGAGAGGGGTAAACATCACCTTGCCTTGGTTTACTTGGCTATTTAGTGTATTTGGAAAGCTTGAAACGCATTAGTTTTTAACAAGAGAAAGTGTTCTCCTCCTTTGAAGACGACGGATGACATCCAACTTATGACTTTTAATTAGATTAAAAGTTTTTTTTTTTTTTTTTTTTTTTTTTTTTTTTTTTTTTTTTTAACAAAGTGATGTTATTAAGAGACACTAGTAACCAATGTTTTGAAAACCGGACCGGAGATTGAACCGACGATGTTATTGGTTCAATTGATCCAACCGGTCGAGCTGGTCTCAAAAACTTGAAAAACCAGATGATGTCATCATTACATTCTTATTAACTTTAATTACATAATAAATACCAAAAATATATATTTTTTTTAAATTCATGATTTTGACCGGTTTTATCCGTTCAACCAGACCGGTTTTTGCCGGTTCACATGAATACTGGTTTTTTGGCCTTTAAGAACCGGATCCTAAACCGATTCCCGGTTGAACCAACCGGCTCGGTTCGGTTTTCAAAACATGCCTAGTAATATGTTAAAATAATATAAAGACTTAGAATTTCATACTAGGGTCTTTAAGCCACCCAAGCACGTCCAACGGTAATAACTTAATAATTTTTTTTTATTATATTCACACAATTTATTCGTTTTTAATGAAGAGTTGGTTTCTATAATAAGAGATTCACCTTTAAGATTAGAAGTTGTTTTGTGTTTGATATCGACTTACTACTTACTAAACATTTACCAATCATTTACTTATGGAATTTTTTAATAGAGAAAATAAATAGATTTTTATTTTTTATACCTATAAATATTTCTATCCAATAAATTATAACAAGTATCATCATTTCATATTTTTTTAACTAACTTATTAAGGTTATATTAGGAATATAAAAAAAAAATTGAATGGTGCTTCATCATAATTTTAGTAGGTATGAATAATTATAAACATAAAAGGTAGGAGGTAATTTAATTTCTCTTTTTAATATGTGCCCTAAGGCACATATAATAAACATTGATTACGACAAATATTACCATAATTAAATGTTAAATATATTTATTGTAATGATTATTAATGTATTTCATATTCAATTACGACAATATTTTTATAATAAATGAATTTCATATTTAATTATGATAATACTTGTGATATTTAATACTTTTTATATGTGTTCTTAGGATGAAAATTCATTTTTTTTTTAATTACGTTGTTATATTATTAGTATTAATTAGTTTATTATTTAATTATCATAATTTGGCATTAGTATTATTTCCTTCAGTGTTGTTTGTGCTAATAGAATGATACTGTATAATAAGGATAATGATTTAAAAGGGTAATATATTTTTTGATTTGCATACATTTTGTTATTGAGTTTTTTTTCGTTCATATTTACCACTTCAACTAGTTTAATTGTACTTTCAGTACTTACGACCGGCTACTCCATTTTAACCTGGAAAAATGATTTAATATAGTAATATATTTTTCACTTTGTACACATTTAGTTCTTAATATTTTTTTTGCACATTTAGTCCTTAATATTTTTTTTGTTGCAAAATAAGCCAGTTTTGTTTTTGCACTCATTCAGTAGTTATGATTGATTTTCTTATGTTTTTCTGATGACATCTTATGTGAGACAATCATTAATGAGGTGTTTGAGGTTGTTGATGCTTATGTCCATCGCGATCTCGACAGCTTGGTTGCTTAGGTCTTGTGATTTTGCTTAGATCTTATGCTGTGAACGTCATAACCTCTTCATACGATATCGGATTTTAATGATATTTATATCCAATTATTCGTTTATTGAGTCTACTACAACTTTTGTTAATATTACTCCTGTAAAAGTATAATATATTTTTAGCAACGATTTTATAAAGAAAACATTCATACGAAAGTTGTAGTAGACTTGAAAAATGAACACGTGTATATAAAGACCGTTAAAATCTGATACCGTATGAAGAAATTACGATGTTCAGAACATATGACCTAAGTCAAACCATAAAACCTAAGTAACCAAGTAGTCGAGATCATGATGGATAAATGCATCGATATCCCTAAACATCTCATTAATTATTGTCTTACTTAAGATGTCATGAGAAAAATCTAAATAAATCGGTCATAAGCACTGAATGGTTACAAAAACAAAATGAACTTATTTTGCAACAAAAAATATTAAAGACTAAATGTGCAAAAAAAAAAAAAAAAATCAAGGGCTAAATGTGTACAAAGTGAGAAATATATTACCTTATTAAGTTATTTTTCCCTGCTAATCTAGAGTAGTCAGTCATAAGGACTGAATGTGTACAGTTTAACAAGTTAAAGCGGTAAATATGAACGAAAAAAAACTTAATGATCAAATATATACAAATCAAAAAATATATTACCTTTTTAAGTCTTTATCCAATATATGTGGATTCCCTAATTTCCTTTCCATAAGAGCTCTTTTATAGAATAAATAAGGAGCTCCACGTTTAAAGTCCCAAACTAAGAAGTAAATGACATTGTAAATCTTTTGAGTTGTAAGACAACATGGATGGTTTTGCTTGGTGTCTAACAGTTGCACCGGCAACGTCTGACCTATCTGCATGAAGTAAAAAAAAATTGAATATTTTTTCTACTATAAAATATATCACCGACAACACCTACTATGGAATAATACATCCGTCGTTATAAGGCAAATTACTTTTTATTTGAAATTATGGTAGGTAATAATATATTTAAACAAGATGTGTGGTTAATAATTCTTCAAAAACCAATTGTAAACTTTCTACATAGAAAGTTGATTCTTTATTCTATGGTGGTTGTGTAAGTCTCTTTATCGGACCTCAGAAGTCTTGGTGTTTAATATTGTTGGATTCCCTGGGAGATTGACTATAATGGAATAAGAACAATAATAGTAATAATGTAAAAGACATAAATACTATTCCCTTCGTTCTAATATTATTGTCCAAAGACAAAAAACACACATATTAAGAAAATCATTAATTACCACTAACTTTATTTAATAAAATGACAGTTTTATCCTTACTTTGCGTTTAATGTTCCATTAAATGCTTAGTTGGTTAAGTAATAATGAGGATGTATTTTGGTAAAAATATAACTTATTTTTAGAAGTAGACTATTATTTTGGAACAAGCCAAAAAAGAAAGATGGACTATAATTTTGGAACGGAGGAAGTATAAGATAAATAAAGCGGCTAAGGAAATGAATTCCTTCACATAAAATGACTACACAAAAAATGACTACACGATGGAGACACTCTTAGAGCACTCGGTATGGGGCAGTTAAGGGAGCCATTATGGCTGATGTGGCTGGCAAGACAACGTTATAACTTGATA